CCATGTAAGAATCCAGCACCTTAACTGCTATTGGAGACAACCCTGTGTGATGATGGCCCAGATCTGCTGGAAAACACCTCAAGTGATCTAGCATACAGAGTCTTCAAGTTTCCCAGAGAAGCAAGCTAAGTCCCACTGGGCCAATTTACCCTATGTTCTACATAATAGCTCTTACATGCTATGCTTTGTGTTTCTAAGTAAATCTTTAACTTCCTTCTTAAAGATGTTCTTGCTTTGGGGAAATCCTGTTATTTGTATGTTCATCCTTTCCCATCCACTATACATTTACAGAATTTATCATAATAAATATGTACAGTAAAATTTGCTGAGAAAAGGTCATTTACTTTAAAACATCATATTGTTTGTAATATGATCTTCCATTCAATAAATACAGAGCACAAGAGATGGCTGCATTTGAGTTCTCTCGAATCCCCAGCCCCCACTCTGTGCTAAATTTATTCAGACTACAAGTCTTTCAATATGTGCATCACTCTACATCTCTGAGTCCATGGCAAACCACTACATCACTTGCTGGCCCCTTATTTAACATTTTAATGTTCTTAATTAGTTTAAATAGTTTTTATAATATAATTAGCATTTAAGTAGAGACCATACAGAAAAAAAGGTATGGCCTTGGGAACCAGCAGTTAGCGTAATGGCTATGTCGCTGGACTCCCACGTAGTTGACCGCAGTTCACGTCCCGGAGCCGGTGGCTTAAAACTCATGCTGGGCGCGTGTGCGTGTGTGCCCAAGATCCCGAGAGGAGAATGGAGGAGAAGGGATTGCAGCATGACCATCCCCCCTGGGGGGTGATTTCTCGCTTTCTGTCTCTATGTCTCTCTCTGTCTGTCTGGCGAGAACACGCGCCCTATAGCAAAAAACCTCTCAAAAAAAAAAAAAAAAAGAAAAGAAAAAAAGGTATGGCCTTGAAAAACAACCCCCATCTATCTATATCCCCTATTTCATTGCCTTGTTTCCCCTCAAATGAAGTAAACATCATCCTGAATACAAAGTTAATCAATTTTTTATTTCCCTTTTACATAATTTTATTGCAACTATATAAAATCCTAAATAGTTTGCATCCTTTACATTAGTAGCTTTTAATTTTATAAAAGTGTATTATGCTTGAGACCAGCAGATCGGTTAATGGCTATGTCTCTGGACTCCCATGTAGTTGACCACTGTTCAAGTCCAGGGCCTTGTGGCTTAAATTCATGCCGGGCGCATGTATGCTCAAGATCCCCGAGAGGAGAATGGAGGAGAAGGGATTGCAGTGTGGCCATCTCCCCTGGGGGGTGATTTCTGTCTTTCTAGAGAGCACATGCACCCTATAGCAAAAAACCTCTCCAAAAAAAAGTGTATTATACTTTATGTAATCTTTTGGGAGTATATCTTTTCTCCTTAATATGTATGCATATATATTGTTAGGTATAATTTAGTTCATTTGTTTTGACTCCTGTTGATGAAAATCCATGTCTGTTTCCAGGTTTTGCTGTTGTGAACAGGATGCCATACATGTTCCAGGTTTCTTGTACAAGTGTTTTTCTATATTCCTGAGGTCGTACTCGTTGTATCGTGAATTATGTAGATATTCATTGTAGGAAGGAATGCAAATTGTTTTCCTTGGTGGTTGCACTGATCTCATCATCAGGGCAAAAAGATCCTGTGAGTCCATATCCTCTCCAACTCTTGGTATTGTCAGACTTCTACATTTTTGCAAATATAATAGGTATAAAATGTCATGTCATCTTATATCATGTCTTGATCTATATTTCCCTGATTACTAATGATTCTGAAGATCTCTTTATATACGTTTATTGGCTATATCCTCCATTCTTTTTGAAATGGTATAACTGACCTGCTTTTAAAAAAATAACCATAGTACTATTATGACACCCAATAACATCAATAATGATTCTTGCCACTCTTTTAGAAGCATGCCAAATACGCTTCTACTGATTCCATTTGTTCTTTCATTTATTCACTCAAAAACATTCACCCACATCAGGACTGCAGGAGTAGAAATGTAACCAGAGAATACCTCCCTCTAAGAAAGTAAAAATTAGCTCAGACTATAAAAACCTGCTCTGCCATTCATCAGGCTGGGGAAACAGAGATAAAGACAGATGCAGAATTAATAGAAACATAATTTCTCAAAAGGACATGATACAGTGGTATTGCCATAAAGAACCTCTATCCTGTCCAAATATTGCTATTTTAGTCACTGAGAAACTTTGTTCTCTGATGTTATAGACTATCAAAAATTTCCCTTTAGAAATAATATCAGTAAGACTGAAACACTCAACAGTCACAAGACATTATAAATTACTTAGGTACAAGAAGATTGGATTTCCAGGTTAGGTGCAGAGCTTCAGACAAGGGGTATATGAACACAATATTCTACATCTATCTTTATTGTTTTTAAGGAAAAAGCACTTGGGTTCATTTTGTTGTCCAGAGCTGATGTTGACCACTTTATACATGGCACTGCTTTGCTTCGAACTCACTAAAATACTGCTTTATTTCAATTTCACCTGAACTCCACCATTCTTCAGACTCCTGTAAGAACTATCTTTTCCTTTGTTGACTAAGATGTGCCCTGGCTCCTCTGGCGTGTGATCTCCCTCATTGACTGATGAATCTGTTATCTGTCAGACTACAAATTACCCCCTTAATGGTTTTTAGGCTGATTGGTCTAGGATACCTGTTACAGTCAATTATTAAACTGAGGTACGGAGGGACTGTGCCTGGACTCAGAATCCTCAGCAAGTCCACACCTCAGCCTTATACCAGCTCCTCTCAAAATACTTTTCTTACTTGAGGATTCAGGAAGACCTTTAGCAGGGCATAAAGTCTTCTACTTTAAAATATTTTTAAAATAATTTAAACACTTAATCACTATAGATCATTTAGATTATAAAGACACTTTACCCAGCATGGTATACACCTCAGTCCAGCCCAGCTGAGAATACTATACACTGTTAGAGCAACTATTGGAGGAGGAGGTATTTGAACT